TACTGTGGCAGGAGTAATAAAAATAATGAAATACATTAAAAATACATATACATGTACCTATCCTGGGAACTAGAAACTGGTTTTTGCATTTGAAGTGGAAGTTTTGTGTCTGCAAAGACTTCTTGGTCTCCCTAGATTTTTTTTCTTAATTACATTTTGTATATTGGAGTGATGTTTCAAAAACTTCATTGTTGTCAGGTATAGGTAAGAAGCCACTTTCAGTTCTTCTGAAACAAAATCAAGGCAACTCTAACTATGTTAAATACTTGAACTGTGTGTAAATGGGTAGTGTTCTTTAAAAGCTGTCAATTACAGTAATGTAATGCTGCTAAATATCTTGCTATGATAAAAATATTAGGTTAAATCTTGGTAGACTTATCCACAGAAATAGATTTAGTGAGGTTAGGATGCATGTAATTGATGTAGAGAAAGAGGATTTGGACTGCTAACTTAAGCATGTGTATGGTCCTGTTAAAACCATGATGGGTAGTAGGACTTAAATTTAAGCTGAAGAGCTTTGATAAGGATCTAAGGGGAATGAGCTCCTGTAGGACTAATTTTCTAGTGGGAATCAAAAAAATGTGCTTTTAGAGCGTTTCTTTTGATAGAAATGAATAACTGCAGTGCAAAAGCACAAATCAGTATAATTTAAAAGATACTTTGCAGTGGTGCTTAATTTGGAATATTGATTGGGAATACAGCTATAAATCATAATTGTACTCTTCTGTCTTTTCTCCCACTTTTGCACATAAAACCTGTGTTTCTGTTGATAGATCACTGCTAAAGTCAGCTTGAGTAGATGCTAGCTGTGTTGACAGGACAAAAATACAGCCAGCAACACTTCAGACATTAGATTATAGGTAACTGCTTAATTCCCAAGTGAGAAGATTAGGCAAGAACCTGAAGAATGCTTGGGTCCTGAGCACTTGGAGCAGCATCAGGCTATATGTGTGATTAGACCAGACTCACTGGTGAGATGAGTTTCCTTAGTGTATTAGAGAACCTCTCTGCTTATACCAGGACAGGATTCCTTAGATAAGCCTCTGAAGATTTTGAAAAAAGCTTTGAACTGAAACTCTCACAAAACTGACCGTGAGTGTGAAGTGTTGGGTTTGCATCTATCCAAATGTGCTGTGAGGACAGTCTGCTGTCTTTCATTACAGTGAATGTACAGGCTGTAGCTGGGCATAGAGGGAAGAAACAGTCTTCCTCTGCGTGTGGGATAATTTCTGCCAATAGACAAGAGAAAATTTTGAAAGTAATATCATGAAGCCTGCAATTCTGTTGGAGTTTTTCCTCCTCATCACTGGTGGAACTAGTGGCTGAAGGCTGTTACTTTGCCAGAACATTACATTACTCCTTGAGAAACAGTGTGAAAGGTTGTGAATTGAAAATGAAGGAAATTAGTGGTTTCCTTGGGTTTATTCTAAGAAAACATTCCAACAGTAGGAAAGCAAGTCTTCTGTGGTGTCATAAATGAGAGGTTTTGCATAAAATGTTCACATATAATGTTCAACCTTGCAGTTTTTTGTTTAAAAGAGAAGAAGCATTTTGATGGTAGGAGATGAGTGAAATGCTGCAAAGCTCATGTAAAATCCATTCTTCATTCTGTCTGACATCAGAAGAGAAAGAAAGCGAGTTATACTTCAGCTGGAAGTGAGCCAGGGAACCTCTGTTTAGAGAGGAGGAGAAGGGAAGTGATGGGAAGAGGGGAAAGATGAAAAAGATATGTTGGCTTTGTAAAGAGCAGTTAAGAGAACAGGTGGAGGCCCAGGAAATCTCTAATCTTACTTTTGTATTTTAAAGATGCTGCATATCCTTACTTCAAAGAGGATTTCTGTTCAGTATAAATAACTAGCCCACCAGCTCTGAAAGTACTTCATTCTTAGTAAACCTCAAGAACACTTGAGGTTCAAAGCATTGTTCTTAGGATAAACTCTATGAGGCGGTGATAATGCATTTGTTTGCCATCCAAGGCACATGTATGCTTAAAAAAAGCTGCTACAATAAAATTCCTTTCTGTCACTCAAAAGGTGCTGTGAGGGGCCAGTTCTCGCTATTCTCTGCTGACTTAGCCTCAGCATGAGAGAAATTGTTATTAGTTACACTGATAAGAATAAGAGCTAAAAGTAATTATTTTAAAATGTTTTCTACAAACCTTACATTAATAGCAAAAAACCTTCTTTTCAGACTTGTCTGGGCAAATGCATTTTTGAACTCCAAAATATACTTGGGTTGGATTACGCTTAAAGAGGCCCATCATTTTTGTTATCAAAGTGCTAAGCAGATTTGTCTCCACAGTCAGGGAGGTGTGTGTGTTTGAGAGTTATGCCCAAAGAAAGAGACAAAGAAGACCTTTGATGAGGCTTAATGCAACCATAGGCATGTCATTATAAGGGTGCTGGAAACTTAGGCTACCAGAAATAGTACCTCATTTCTTAGTGGGGACTCCAGAACATTTCCAAGTTAAAGATGTAGAAAAACAAGCCAAGCTGAGACAGGAGCTAACAGCAAAGGTGTTGTTACTCTTTTACTACTTAGTCACTGCTCTGTTGCAGTGGTCAACCAGTTTACAAGAAAAATGGCATCCCTCGAGTTTTTGTAATTCTTACAAATAATCTCGTGAGGTCCCAGCAGCTTTTGGTCACTTGCTGCCTTCAACTATCAGTCCTTTCAGATGTTAGTCATTCTGTGTTTAAGACCATTTAATTACCTTTTCCAGGCAGAATTGTCTTATTTCAGCTCACAATTTCTTGCATCTCCTTCCATTCTTTTCAGTTCTGATTCATGACCCTGAACTGCAGATTGACAGCCAGACATCAGTCTAGTTTTTTACTTTTTGTGTGATCTCTCCTAGTTTGCCAGGCAGCAGTTCTTCCAGTGGGGATGATGCATCCAGGTGCTCCTCTCTGGAAGAGTGTAGTGCTTGTTGCTGCAAAAAATCTGGCATTCAGGAGCCTGGAGCAGAGGCATATTCCTACCATTCCACTGATCTGCACAAGGTTTATTGCTCAGTTATTAGCAGCTTTTTCTCCTGCTGTTGAAAAATGCAAGCAACCTGTCTAAAATTCAAAGAGCTAGTTTCAGTAGACCTGCCACCCTCTGTCCACCCCTGCAATCACCACCACTTGCAATCTGTGCTCCCTGCAATGAAGCAGTAACTTTCTCAGCACTAGGAGTTGTTGCCAAGGTTTGTGTCTCAGGGACTTCAAATTTGGTACGGTCAGGTTGGGAAGAAATGAGCTGTCAGTACAAATCATCGGAGACTGAGCAAATAAGAATAAGGAGTTGTATCTGTTTTGCAAGATGAATCAAATGTGAATAGAAATCTCAAGAAAGATTTCTTTTGTGTTTGTTAGTTTTGGTCTTGCACAGAAAGTAAGAGTTATGCTAAAAATCAAAAATAGCGACAACATAGAGGGAATCAGTATGTTTACCCGTTAAAAAAAACCAACAAAACAAAAAACCCAGACTAAAACAAAAAACTCCAAACCAACTAACTAGCAGAAAAAAACCATAATCCCCTACACAACAAAAACTGTGCTCATTTAAATCAAGTTGGGTTTAGTCTCAACATTTCAAGTAATTCCTACTCATAATTTGTCTTTCATTCCTCTCCTGTCCATTTACAGGAAGCTTTTTTTCCTTCTGTAATGCTAAACCCCATTGTACTACTTTACTGTAACTACCAAAAGCCTACCTCAACAATGACCATCACAGTCACAGAGCAGATTAATGGGTATAAACAGCTCAAGAGTGCTGGTTGCTTATCTGCCAGGGTAAATCAACACTCTTGTTCACACATCCTTGAGCCAGGAAGATTGATTAAAAGTCCCACGTGGACATAAAGCTAGAATGTTAAGTAAATGACTTCCAAGGTTCCCATGTAACAAGAGTCTTGGGAGAATATAAGACTTAGGAAGAAAACAAACACATGAAAAAACAACCCCAAAAAAAAGTCTTTGATCTGGTGTCTGACATTTGTAAGACTTCAGTTTCTAGATAATAAATATGTCAATTTATAACCTCTGGTTTTCACTGCAGTTCAGGTGTATTTTATACATATTAAAACTATAAACAAATTTTATGGTCAGAAAGACAATTACTTATTCTAATAGTGTCTCTCTTCCTGAGCTGCAAAGGTTCAAAAAACAGCTGTATTCACACATTGCTCTGAACTGGAAGAAAACTTTTGCCTACTTATTCTTAAGATTGCAGGATTAGAGATCAAGGCCTGGTGCAATATTGCTGTGAGCGTGCAGAGAACAAAACTACTCTCCACAGAGTACCAGCTGATACAGGTTTAGTACAGCCTAAAAGAAAAGAGTATATCTACTGGCCAAATAAGAGAAAATAAACTGTGTACCATAATAAGAATATTTTCCTGCATTTGTCGTCTTTTCCAGAAGTATCTCAGTAATATTCTGGTGTTCCTTATACTTTTTCCTTAAATATTTATTGATATTTCTTAATAACAAGTGGAGCAGAATCACAGGAGGCATTATAAACAGATACAAAATGTTTAACAATCTTCACCATTCTGAATTCAGATTTTCTTCTGTCATTACTCAAATCCATAGTAGGGTTTTCCTGCTGTTATGTATCCCAAGTTCCTCAGAAACATGGTTATGAATTTTAGGAATATACAGCTTTGATTCTGTGAATTTCCATTATAAGGAGAGACCTAGGGGAACAACAACCACCTCCCTCCAAACTCCTACTTTATACCATACCTAGCCATTTGCCTTTGCTAGTTGCCACTGAGTGACTTCCCATGTGAATCCCAGGCAAAGGGGGCCCAGGATTTAGTTCAGTCAGTAGACTTCTTCATAGATTCCCAGAACACAAAGCAAGTGCACAGCTTGCACATGTTTTCTGTAAAAAAGATAGAAATTTCTGTTGCCTTGCAGTGAGTAACTGGCAAATTACCATTCATGTGAATAACTGCTCCTTCACTTACGAATTCAGTAACTGTTTTCTCTCTCTTTCTCTGTCTTTAGAAGCAGAAATAGAAATCCTATTGGTCCAGGAAAGTATGGATATGGAAAAGTGCCCTACATTTTACCTTTACAAACAGACACCGGTCAGCAGCCTCAGAAGCTTCGGAGACAGCGACAGTCATCTAGGAACCATGTATTTCATCAGAGTCCAAGTCTCATGAGCACTTACAGTCAGGGAGCTAGTCCTTCACTTCAACATGGGAATCTTTATCAAGAAGAACGTGGGCCTCAGGCTGGACATCAAGCGCTGGGACCGTCAGTTTATCAGTCATCTTCGTTTCCTGTATCTCAAAGCCTGTTTCACAGCAGTGACTCAAATCATCATGGGTCACCATCACACCAGGCAGTCCAGGGTCAGCCTCAGCCTCAAAGAGCTGCAGCAATTGTGTGCATTGGCACTTACAAGCAATATAAACTCTGCAATACCAATGTAAGTCTGGTTTTCCTATATTTAATTTGCTGGGCAGCTGTTGGTTTTCCCTAATATGCTAAATGTTGACATAGTCAAGAGGTAAAGCTGAACACTGTCCCTAATTAATGAATATTTTTTTTTTAACTTATTTTAGTGTCTTGGGGAATACTGAAAGTAGATGCATAATATTATAGCTACCTAATACCATAACTTCAAGGCTTTTAAGCAGTCGCTGTATCTACCAATACGTAAAATTCTAATTCGATAAAAGAAGAAGTTAATTCACAGACAATTTTAATATTTTTCCATGTAAGAAATGGAAAAATGGAGTTAGGGTAGGCCATGTTGAGAAGATTCCCTACTTCTGAATCCCATAAGATAAGGCTAACCTTTTGGGAGTGCTAGTCATGCTCTAAATACCACTTAGAGCCAGCACCTAGTAGCCTAGATCACGCCAGAATCTTTCCCTGGTGTTGTGTGTGTTCTGCAAGAGGTGCTACTTTTACCAGTATTCAAGCTTTATGTGCTTTGATTTTTGTCTTCCTAGTTTATTGGAGAGAAAATGTGTTCTGTGTTCATTTTTTAGTAAAACTTGCTCTGTTATTACTTCATTCAAAATGTTTGGCTGGGTGTAGCTCTGTGCTCTCAGGCAGTCTCCCATTCTGTGTGGGAGGTAGTGAGGTTTTGCAATTTTTATTCTGCTAAAAGTCTCAGTTTCTGGCAGTGTCACTTTAGTATTTCCTAAAGTATCTCTTCCTAATATTTGTATCTTACAGGGGTTACTAATCTAACTTAATGTTGCAAACTTGAAGAAGCTTGTATTTGGATATTAGAAGCAGGATGGTCGAGTGGTCTCAGTATGTTTAAACAGCAGGCCATATTTTTCTGAGTGGGTGCACATCTGATTCTTCTGCCTCTTGGGAATCCTGTTTTGTTTAGTGGAAGCCTGCACAGTGGAGATGTAGCAACAGAACATATGATCAGGATAAGAAAAACATGACCTAAACAAAGCAGAGTTCTTTTTTTGTCTCTCTGTGTAGCAGTTATTACATCTGCTTTATTTATGAATAAAGTCCATTGATTTGAAACTAGAGCAATTGATTGCAGAGCTCTAATGTCAGGAAACTTTTAGCGTATTTGTCTGAAATGGAAAACATGAAAGGGCTAATTTGAGCCTCTGAGAATAGTCTCTGGTACAAATCGCTCCTTTGAAAAATGCTGTTTTTTGAAGGAAATGGGAAATGAACTTAGTACATGGGCATTAATTTGGAAAGTTTTCTGTGCTGAATTTGCTCACTGCAGCACACAAATATCCCAGTCTTTACTTCATCCCCTACTACATCAAGGCAAGAAGTTGGACAGTATTCTGCTTAACTTCAGGAATGTAACAAGATCCTTTCCAGGAAAGATCTCTTTTCAGAGGAAAAGGGGTGAGAGGTGAGGAAGTTAGAAATGAGCTAGAAGAAAGACGTAATCCCAGGTGGCCAAGGTATGGAAAAGGAAGGGTTGTAAAGGAAATTTGTTGAAAATGACAAGTGGGCTGGAGAAAAGAGAACTCTTGAGCTTGTGAATTAGACAGTGGCAAGACGTGCAGGTCAGTATGATGAGTGGTTTGGCCATTGACAGATTTCTTTCGGTAGTAGGGGAACAGGAGTGAAAATAACTTCATGTCAGTTTTAGAAACTGTTGTTTAAACAGAAAAATTCTATAGATGAAGAGCAAAAATAAGTGAGCTTACTGTACTGTTGCTGCATCTTTGCCATTGTTGCATGTTTAAATGCAGGTAGAAAAAAATAATTTATATTACAGGTGACTTTTAATAACAGACTGAAATTGTAGATGTTGTAGCTTCTCCTAGGCATGGAGCTCTACACAGTGATATTTCTTTATTCAGTGGCATTTCTCTTTCCCTCTGAGAAGCTGTAATTACTATTCAAAGTTATTTTTCTCCATAGAATGCGTTAATTAATATAATTATAAAAAAGTTGGTAAGAACATTTTTAGTATAAAGGCCCAGACAAGAGCAAAACAAGGCCCATAGTGTTTCACTTGTTTGCTTGTTCTTCCTGATTAAATGCTTCTGTATCTGGGCTTTAATTTAATTTATCGGCAGTGACATGAGCCAGTGATCTTGTCAGCATGCAGAGAACAGTATCTTTTTCTTTCTTTTTCTTTTTTCTTTTTTAATACTTCCTGGTTCATACAAAAAATGCAAATCTCACTTATTGAGCAGAAAGTATTCTGTTAATGGTTGTGTTTGGCTACTCCCTCTACATTTTCTCCTTAGGGCAGTTAATTAATAACAAATTAAGTAATCTGCCTTGGTCCATTAGGTCATTTCCTCATTATTGTACATTTATTGGTTTTTCATTAATAGCTGAACTCATTTTACATGACTGACAGCTTGGTTCGTAAAAGTTTAACTTGTGGGGTTTAGTTAGGGAGAACTTCAAAGTGCTTGTGTTTGTTCAAGTGCTTTTGCAGGTCATTAAACCTCTTTTCTTATTGTACAAGTGGCTTCTCCTCTTCAGCACCTTGCATATAGGCTTTGTACGCATTCACCTCAGAATATACATCTGCCTGTCACTTCCTTCAACAGGGAATAGGGAGCAAACATCTGTCCTTTACACACAAACAGTACTGTCAGATCTAACTGAAACCATAAGCTATTTGCAGTACAATAAGATTCCTCAAATGTAGTCTGTGTTCCTCCAAGATGGTGGAGTGATGAGTAAATCTTCCTTACTTCCCTCTGCATTACAGGAGGGAGAATTATACAGGGGTGTGGGTGAAGTAGAACTTGAATGCAAACTTGTTTGAGTTGTTTGTTACCAGAACAAAGGAAGCAACTCGAATGGAACATTTGTTTACTGAGCACTTTTTGTTATTAACTGTCTCAAGCATTGCCAAGTCACTAGCTCTTTGTGAGAATATATTTATAAATTAACTTCAGGCTGTGAGTTGCTTGGGCTGTGTACACAGGGAATAGATAGAATCAGAAAACAGAAACTTCTACTTTCTTACCCTGACTCTTCAGCTATGCGTATTATTACTCTAGTAGTACAGCTATGGAAAATCCAGCTTTTGGTTCTGAATACAAGTTCTTAACTTGGATTTGTGTTCCTGTGTGTAGAGCACTTGCGAATGGCATCTTTGCATGGAATGCAAAGTATCTGAAAAGCAGTTTTGGAAATGGAAAGAGGTTTTACTGTTGAAGGGATGAAGTGAAGTAAGGCTCAGGGCCAATCCCCAGATCTACCATGATGGGGTAAATGGATATATTTAGTTTCCTAGAGAATACTAATGATACTAATGATACTAATTTTGACTGGTGTATATTAACACTTTCCCACTGAAAGACTTTTTTGGAAGCAGAACCCTAATTCAATAGAATTGAAGTGTTCTGCAGGAATATGTTGAGTCCATTAAAGACTGCTTTGCTTTTCTGTCACCTAAGCATATAGGTAGGCCTTGGCAGGCTCCCTTGGCACCTGGGATCTCAGCAGGTTTCACCAGCTTGCTGGCATTCTGACCAGGCATTTTGGAGAGTTTTCTACACTACAGAAAACGAAACATTTTCAACGTTTCAAGTTTTAACAAAGGTAGAAGTGGAAATGTTTAATTTTATGTGGAACAGAAACTGCAATTGCCAGACAGGTCTTTTCAGAAGTGATACAGGGCCTGTGAGGATGTGTTTATATACTGAGGTGAAGACACATAGAAGACCACGTGTTTTTAAGAGTGCTTTTTCTTTTCTTTTTTAAACTGAAAAGCTCTTTCTTATTCCCAAAGAGCTACTGTGTGGTTTATTTATTTTCATTTTGGTATTTGTATAGAGTAGGTGTTTGACAGAAGTGGTAAAGCAGGGTTATGATGACATAACTTTTCCTGAGGAAATTTAACTTTAACTTTGTGAGGAATTTTCCCTGCAAACACTGTGGGATTGTATGTACGTTTGGTAGCTTGTCATTCTGTGGGTGTATAGGAAACTTATTAAAAGCTTACGTTACTTTGGGTTGTGCTGTTCTTTCTTTGGCTGTTTTGGTATTTGAAGCAGAATTGTGTAAATATTAATTCAGAATGTGTTGTCGCTAATGGGGTCTTAACTCACCAGCCAGAGGCACAGAGATAGTGCTTGTAAAATATCCTGTGTAGTTCTATCAGTTGCCCCTTGTATAAAAAAGAACCACATAGAGGTGTCTTTGAGTAAGCTCTTGGACCACAGTTTTCTCTGCTGCATCTCTGCACCATGGCTTTATGACATCCTCTTCAACAACTGAGAAGACTGTGTTAGAAAATGTTTTGCATTATGATGTTCCTATTAGAACTTAATTATGGGAAACTGGCTGCCTTAAATGATTAGGAAAAATATGTTGGAATAACTTTAGAAGCTGTCTCAAATAGTTTATTCCACAAGTGTGCCAGTAACAGAACACTAAGTTAGCTGTTTTACATTATTTATTACTTAGGTTAATTACTTACTAACCTCGTAAATGTTCAGTAATGCCAGAATCACACAATTCAGAAAAAAGTGATGTCCAGAGGCTTATGGTTTTTAACTGAAAAGTCAATTGCTTTGTTCAATAAATCTAAGTTACTTTAATTTAGCATCTAGGAGTTCAAGAGTCATGATTTAATGCCCTGTTATGCCAGGAACTATAGAAACAGACTAAAAGGATAAGTGCAGGTGAAAATTTTGTAATGTATACATGGCTACAGTCATAACCTATATTCTTCAGATCAGGAGAAATGACCCGTGGGATCTGTAACAGAAATGATGAGATTTTTGTCTTTCTCCAAAGACAACTTATTAAGGTATAAATAAAACATAGTGGAGCTTTGGATAAACACCTGAAGGCAATAAACCAGAAATATTCCACAGGAAGATAAAGTTTGAGAGTGTGTATCAGTAATAAAAATCTACAAAAAGTGCAAGGGCATTATCCGAAAGACACAGGAAGAAACTTTAATATTCAGTTTACACATAGAAGAATTAAATTCTTTAAGGCAAGAAGTGC